TTATTGAAAACGAAAAAATTTCGATTGACAAATTAGTCGGTATTCTCGACACAGCAATTATAGGACTTGAACAGCGGAACTTTGTAACTGAACAAGAAATTATGTCTGTTTATAGAATTAAAGAGAAAGTATTATCACATAAAAACGAAGCAACTTAAACAACTTACATTGAAAGAAATGTTTAATAAAGTAAACAAATAAATATTAAGCTTTTTTTTTTTTTTTTTTTTTTTGTAAATTTTGATACCCTTTAGATCATAATTGTTCTTTATTTCATAAATTACGGTTTCATATTTTTAATTTTATAATTTCTGCATGCCATCTTACCAGATTTAAACTGATGATCTATAATCCGGAATCGCCGAAGTCCCCGACGAGTCCGGATTAACGACTTTTGACTATATATGTATTTAAATATATTTCAAAGTATATATGATATATTTAAAGGAAAAATTCTAGGCCAGCATCTGAAATTACTTCTTTGTAAAGAATTTATCCATTTCTTGTACATGTATCTTTGATATTTAGTGTAATATACATATCTAAACTGTTGTCTTTTGTCACTGAAAGAAAGAATGATATGATAAAAGTAGAGTTGATGTAAATGGAACTAACTTGTATATGATGCAACTTAACTTTTTAAAAATGGAAGAGACAGCAAACAACTAGAAGATTTTAAAATCTCAATAGTAGATTGAATTAATTAGATTATGGCAAAGCACTCAAGGGCTCTCTGCCTGTTTCTGAATTTGCCTCTCTCAGTGTTAACAGTTGGTGTTTGTCATGTACTCTGACTAGCATTCATTGTTGTTGTAGTAGCTGTTCTTGTGTCCATTTGTCAAATCCATATTTCATGGAAGATTGATTTCCCAGAGCCTTAAGGAGTTTGGACTCCTACTTCCATCCCAGTTTTGAGGGAGAGCATTCTGGGAAGTGGTCCATGGATTTCTCACCTCTCTCCCCTACCACCAAACTACACGAGAGGGCTTTCTGCTCACTATAAGTTTAGAGTGCCCCAATGCCACAGAGACACTATACAAACATCCATGTCTTCTCCGGGATTTGAACCCGGGGCCTTCAGTATTACAGTAGGCTTCCCTAACCACTTTACCATCTGGGTGATGGAGCATTTGAAAACCTGAAATAACAAAGTTCACTTAATTGCTAAGCCTTGCACTTTTTCTTAAATGTAAATTCTTCATGTAGGCTATCAGAATATGCCACAAAACTGCTCCTGAATCTCATTTGCAATGATATTTCAAAATTTAAAAAATCGCACTTTACTACAATCATTCTATTAAAAAAATGCTGAACAATATTTTCACTTTTCATCTTTTTACACTGAAGTGAAATTCTATTTAGACCTTTTTCATTAAATGCACAAAAAAGTTTTTTTTTTTTTTTTTTTTTAGTGAGCAGGCACTTGCAACTTAATGCATTTGTCAGGAATGGCCAATATCCTTCATTCATTTAATTATATCATCACAAGAACATTGTCCAAAGTCCAAAGTGCACCACAGGAACAATTGAATTATATTTATGAGAAACAGGATGCTGCTTTCTGATAGAGAACATCCCAGGGGCTGGATTTGAGGGTCTCCCAATCTTCTTTCTCTATCACCAAAGGGCTCTTACTCGCCAGTGTTTTAAGTGCCCTCATGCCAAAAAACACTATACATTTATAAACATCCAAGCTTTCTTTGGAATTCGAACATGGTCCCACTAATACAACAGCCAACATTGCTAACCACTATACCAATCAAGGCAGCCATAAAATATATTAATTAAGCTGTTTTGTGAAAGCAAAATGCTTGCATAAAACACACATGTTCATGAAGTATGTTTCTTTCACCATGTTCATCACAATCCACAGTAGTTTTTGGATGATTTATATTATGTATGTATAGTAGTTACATAAGTATTACACATGTGCATAGTAGAATTTTCTAATAATGATATAAAAAATATTTAAAAAATGAAAAATGAAGTATTTGGACTATACATTTTATGTTCTGTTACAGAAATGAGTATTATGATAAAGTCAGTATAAAAAATACCATTTCAACAACACACAGAATCAAACTTATCACAATCAAAAAAGTATTAATGGGATACTTTGTGACTTTTGCATATGACTAACTATAATGTTAAATTTATGCATGCTACATATGTGCATATGTGCATTTGGCATTTAAATTCCTGTCTGTAATATTAGAATTGTATTTTATTTTATAATTGTCATGCTGAAAAATTTGTTTAATAAACTCAAATTATTCCAAACAGGAATAATGGTTTTCTTAGAATTGAATCAATTATCATAAAATCATCTCCAACACAGTCATCTCATCTTTCCCCTCCAATTTCTTCCTTTTTTGTTCAAAATCCATTTGTAATTTTTGCCTTCAGTCTGGTTTTTAAAGAAAATTGTAAGATTAAAATAAATTAAAGTAGAACAGTACGATTGGCTAGTCATATAAAAGATAATCCTGAACTGCTAGTGTTTTGCAGCCTTAAGCAGTTCATTATTTATGAAGTAATTTTTAAAAAATATGAAAAAAAGCACACACTTCAAGTTTAAAAAATGCATCAGCACACGCAGTCAAAGCCTCAATATTATCATAGGTTACGGTTCACTTTGCACAGACAAGGAATTAAGTAAGATAGTTACATAATTTTCAGATGTCAGAGCTTCAAGTTCATTATGCCCCCCTTTATTTTTCAATTTCTTTTATTAAATTAAAAATGAAAATTTCTTTCTTTCAGTAGTCATATATGGAATTTTCAAAATTTCCATACATATGAAATCTTCACCTCAGTTTCAATTCTAATAGTTAATACCTCAGTAAACAAAGTCATAGCTCTATGCTGAATTCATTTGTAGTACTGACTCATGAGTTCAGGAAGTAAATTCACATGTTCAAAAATAAAAACACTTTTGGAAAAAATTTAACAATCTTTCTGGAGGAAAATTTACACAGAAATCCTCAGAAGAATTTTGAAAGCAAAGAATTAACTTAGATTACTAACATGTTTCATAAGAGAAATATTATAACTTTAGGTGATACCACTTGATGAAGTTATAATATTAGAGAAATATTATAACTTTAGGTTTACCACTTGATGAGAAAGAATATGATTTAAGCACATGTGCAAAATCTCAGAGTAATGGAAAATGGTTACATTTATATAGAAACTTGCAATGGAATGAATTAGCTTTCTTGACTTGCATGGTGAATCACAGTCATATACTTTATCTGTATCATCTGCGTGTTAATATGCCCTGAGTATACGTAAAGTTTTTAAATCCATTGTTACCTTAACAAATTTCATATGATTACTTAATTTTTAGTTTATTAAAATTATAAGGTATTTCTGCTCTAGCACTTTTTAAAAGGAAATCATTATTAGTAACTTTTATACTGCATTATTTGTTAACATTTATTGAAATCAGGAGTAGAACCTTAGCTAAGATTCTTATTTGTGTAGTTGAAGAATCAAGGCTTTGTTTATTTAATTGAATACAATAAAACATACAGAAGCTATCTATCTGGCTAAGACAGTGCATCTTCATGGAGGACAATTTAAGGGAAATAAGTGTTTAATCTGTACATGAAGAAAACCAAAATACCCATACAGTCAACCCATTGGGATTAGAACCTGGGTCAGATTAACAGTGTTCAGCAATCCAATTTACTCTTCAGCTAGAAGTAGTTTGCTATTAATCTCTACTAAGATTGCTCTATTATCTTAAGATATTGTGCATGTGGTATTTTGTAGAGGTACATGCTACAATACTAAAGAAGAGAGTTACTTCCAAGAAACTTTTTTTTATGAATTGTTCCCAATATGCGTTTTCTTGTGATGCATATTAGTAACAATGGCCGTGGTTTCATAAAATTTGTGATTTCTTGCTTTCAGGTGCCCCTTCTCTTTATTATTATTAGGAAAGCTCTTGCATATTATGAAACTAATTTCTATGATCCTTGAAAACTTCTATACAGAAAATCTTCCATTTTTAATTTTATAAGCAATGGCAGATCTAAAAAAATGGGAGCCTCATTTTACCTGAACTTATGGGAGATCCTCATATTAAGACACTGAGTATATTTCCTTAAAACTCTTGGTAAATGAGAAAATAGTGTTTGGACAATGTGTAAATCAAAAGGTAAACATGTGTAATCTATAATGTAAACACTGAGTAACTAAATGTTTGAAGTACTTTCATTGTGCCAAGATATATGCCATATGTTTCACATGCATTTGTGTTTAAGTCAAGTTATAGGTAACCCCTCAATTTAGTAATATGTTTATATGTTTGTAAACTAAATCAGGACTACCTAATTTCAAGAATTAGGAAGGAAGGAATTTGTATACTTAATTCCATTAGAAAACTTTATTTCATTGTAATGATTTATTCTTGTTCAATACCAAGAGGGGAATTAAAAGAATATGTTAAATGCTAAAGCCGCATATTAATTTTTTTCAGGCAATGTAATTAGTCTGTAATATAAATACCAAGTAACATCATTAATTTGTAATGTAAATACTGTATAACTAAGTCCCATGTGTTTGAAGTGCTTTCAGTGTGACAAACATCACGTCATACTGAATTGATCAATACCATATGTTTTTTTTTTTTTTTTTTTTTTTTACGTTCAAGGTCAATTTGTGGTTATTATGTATATACGTTTAAGTTACACACAATTTGACAATATATGTGTATTAAACTGAATCAAGATTACACAGTTTCAAGAATTATGAAGAAATCAATTTGTATTCTTAATTTCATTGTAAAAAATATATTTTATTGTAATATTTTATACTTGTTTGATACTGTACAATGAGTTTAACAGACTATCTTAAATGATATGTCACTTTTTTTTTTTTGTTTCAATTACACTTTTATGCTGAAGTTTTATTATTCTTATTGTTGTCTTAAATTTAACTTTCATATTCTTATTTTATACCTAAAATTATTTGACACAGACTTTTCTTTACAGACATTGTTAATATCAAGCAAAGGTTATCCTGTTCAGGATTACACAGTTCAGACAAAAGATGGTTACTTACTCTCTGTACAAAGAATACCTCATGGCAGAGGTAATAAAAAACAAAATAAGCCAGCAGTTTTCCTGCAGCATGGTCTTTTATCTTCTTCTACTGACTGGGTTATGAATTTTCCTGAGCAAAGCTTAGGTGATATATTTTAATTAATTTTTTTTCTTTATGGTATGTACTAGTCATTTTTTGTTTTGTATGCTTTGAGACTAATATAGTTCATAATAATAAAAAGGATTTCCTCCTGTCTTTCAGGATTCATTTTGGCTGATGCAGGATATGATGTTTGGCTTGGGAATATTCGAGGCAATACATATTCAAGACGCCACATTAAGTATACTCCAGATATGAAAGAATTTTGGGCTTTTAGGTCTGCATGTTTATTTTAATCAGAATATTATAATGTATGAGAAAGTTAAAAAAGTAAACTGAGCACATGCTTTTAAAAATTTTTAGATGCCCTCATACAAACTTGTAATCAGGGTAATAGGTTAAACGTTCCTAAAAATAATATTGCTTTGCAATAAATCTTCTCCCAAAGTCATTCTTTGCTACCTTGTAACTTCAGATACAATAAGAGAAATTTATTGAAGAAAAAATAAATGATTAAAAAATGTAATGAATTTTTCGTTTGCATAATATTTAAAAATATTCTAAAATACAAATTTGTACTTTTTTATATTTAATTATATTAATATGTACATTTTAAGTGAAATAATTTTTAAATGTAATAATATTCAGATCAATTTAGCTTTTTAAAAATGGTTTTAATTTTAAATATTTGCAACATTAAAAAATCAGACTTATTAAGTAATTTCTGTTATAGTTTTGATGAGATGGCAAAATATGACTTACCTGCTATGATTGACTTTGTGTTAAATACTACAGGACAAAAACAGTTGTATTATGTGGGTCATTCACAAGGTACAACTTCTGCATTTGCATTACTATCTGAAAGCCCAGAATATAATAAAAAAGTAAGTTAGTTGTTAATACTAGCATCCAAGATTTGCTATATAAGAACTTTCAATATTTGAGTTGTCATAAAAATCTTCATTGTTATCTTACTCAGATTATGCTACTTTTATTTATTTATATACCTATGTGTGTGTATTTTGTGAAGTTCTTTAAATTGAAATATTTTTATTCATAAGAAGACAAGTGGGTTTGAGACGAGTGTTAAATAAGATAATAGAGTGTATAATTAATAGAAATGTGGAGAATATAAGTATTTTAATATTTTTAAACTCATGGAATTATTTTACATATCTCCATTTTAATATCGTATGTCTATCATAGGTCCCTGTTTAAATGATTTACATATCTGAGAAAAACTATAACATGACAAGCTAAAGAAAACAGTGTAGGATTTTAGCCCATAAGTGATAATATGAATGCTAACAAAAAAGTAAGTTCTTCAAAAAGTAAATTCAGAATAGAGGGTTGAAGTTATAATCAACATTGTAATTTTATAAGTTTAAAAACCTATTGCTTTCTTCATAATTAGTTCTGCCTTCAAATATAGGTGAGAGGCATTAGAAGAGAACATTGGTACTGTTCTGTTATCAGGACTGGATTCAGAAATGTATGTATATATGTAAGTATGAATGTTTGTGTATATGTACAATACATACCTATGTGCATAAATTCATGCATTTTTTTATCTGGTCCAGATAACAGAACAGTACCAGAACAATTTTTAAAAAATTATCACCATAGGAGCAACACATTAATTTCAGAATATGAACACTATGGTATTTTAGAGAATGTAGTATAATCCAAGTAGATATACAGTTAAAGCTCTTCTAGATATTTTTAGAGTATTTAAGAAAAAGTAATGATAAAAGTATAAGTTTGGAGCAGTTGTATTATTGCATTTTGAGTAAGTTGCATTTATGAGACTAACTAGTCATTTAAAATTTTAACAATTAAAAGTGAAATTGTTGTTGCTTATTTGGTTCCACATTTGTTGTAGTGTGGTAGCTTCTAATTAGTTCCTTGATGAAAGTAAAGACTAATGTACTAACTATGCAATATCAGGATTTCCAGTATTATTCTTAAACTGAATCATATTAGAGAGAGAAAACATTTGGTATAATTAAAAAAATACTGTGTGTATGTAAAATTACTTATATGTAATGCCTCTTAAAAGGAACTAACATATGGCAGTGAAGCTAATGTTCGTAAAAAGAAGTAGGATATTGAATGAACCATCCTTGAAAAATATTATGTAAGTTTCAGTAACATGCTAGGAACAAAAAATTTTATGACTTAAGGAAGAAATATAAAATAAGATTTTCAGCGTGGTTGCAAATGTGTAAACATAGAGACATGTAAATTATTTATTATGTTAATGAAAGTAATACAGTCAAAAGTCGTTAATTCGGACACCCATAATCCGGAATGATCTATAATCCGGACCTCAAAATCTAAAAAGTTTCTGCGCATGCGCCGCGTTGACTCATGCGCATAGGCGTTTACGCGTGCGCGTAAGACCTTTTGACTGCGCATATGCGTGTGCGCAAGCGCAGAATACGTTTTTTGCATGCGCGTTTAATGTATAACGGACGGTATAAGCTAAAATTATCTAATTATCTATTTCAGTTAATGTTGATGATTGCGTTGTTCCTTAATCTTCGAATTGGATCCGGCTTATTATTTTTTGCAGACTGTAAGAGCAATTTTATAAAAGTAAGCTTGAACTTTCGATTATGTCAAATAGAATTTCCGATGCTGGAGCTCCCGAAGGATCTACAAAACGAAAGTATGTTTTGATGTCCATCCAACAAAAAGTGGAATTGCTGCAAAAAATGGATGAAGGCATATCCTTTGTTTATCTAACCGTTCCGAAACTGTTTATCAATTTCACGCTGCTCTGCGCGGGGGCGAGGAGGGGGAACTTCGCGGCGCGCAATGAACTGGAAGTTGATCTGTCAGCACTATCCTTATCTTCAGGGCAGATGTTTTTATTTTATTCGGCTTATAATTCCTTACTAAATGTAGTATTTCATCTCGATGTACTCCGTCTTTGATATGATTTAAATCAAATTCCTCGTCATTATAAATATCACGAATACAAATCAAATAGTTTTCTGGTTGCAATTTTCTAATTTCGGACTATGCGTAATGTATGCTTTACGCATGCGCGCGTTGAAAGAAATGTTTAATAAAGTAAACAAATAAATATTAAGTTTTTTTTTTTTTTTTTTTTTTTTTTTTTTTGTAAATTTTGATACCCTTTAGATCATAATTGCTCATTATTTTATAAATTACGATTTCATATTTTTAATTTTATAATTTCTGCATTTCTAATTTTATAATTTGGTATATTAAAAGGAGAGGAGTAAGATTGAAAATTATGTTTTCTGAATTCAAAAAAACTTTTTAATACTCAGAGCTGGTGTTAACTTATCCAATTCATTAGTGGTTAAATGGGCAAAATCGCTGATAACCAATAATTTCAGCTGTTCTTAAGTTTCCTTGCAAAATGGCTGCATGGGATTTATATTATCTTCAGAAAAGAAGTGCTACTATTAAAACTAGACAAAACTTATTGTTGCTTCTATTTTACTGAAAGTGATGTACATTTTTTTTTTTTTTTTTTTTTTTTTTTCCCCCACTTCATGAATATTTCTTCCCAGTCCATCTCAAAAAACTATTTCTTTTCTATGTAATTTATAAGCCACTGTTGTCAAATAAAGTCATGTTATTTGATTATATAAGAGCCTATGATGAATACCTAACTAAAGAAAGAGATGCTTTGATGGAGAACTTTCTAATGCAAACTGGCTCATGTTCACAATACACATGGAGAAAATCATGAAACCATCTGTTCTAATCTGTGTATTCACTAACTGGGATTTAAACTCAGGTTGAACTAATTAGCACTCACTATTCTTCACCATTTGGCCACTTGTGGGTCCAGTGTTCAAGAAAGAAAAGAAAAAAAAGTTCATTAATTTGATTGATCAAAAAGTTTCCAGAAAACCTGAAAAATCAACAAATTTGATAAAACCAAGAAAAGAAAATAAATAAATAAGCAACATTACTTAATAATACCAAGAATTTGGCAAATTAAAATCAAGCATTGGATACTTATTATATTTAACTACATGTAGATTTTCTATACATAAGTTGTTTGTTCAAAGTGGCAATAAGTTGTCTTTAAAAAGGCATATCTGTTTTATGGTATTGATTAAACACAATTTGTAATATTTGGTATGGAATATATAGAATCAATGTGTTTGACATGTTATATTTAATACCTATTTAACCACGAAAATTTGAATGATGTCATGTTAATAGAGAGGCAAAAAGTTAAAACTGCAAAATAACATTTATTATGTGGTTTGATTCAGGCAATGAAACCTGCAAACTTATGGATATTTTTGAAGCTTTTCCATACATAATATGCAAAATATTAAGCATGTGGAGATTCCTTTCAATTTTATCCATACAGATGCTATTCATTTATGCTATTTTTAATTCCAGGAAGTTTATTTGTCTTTTTGGATCTACCGCATTGAATTTTTTCTCTGTCTCTGTCAAAAAAATTAACAGTTCTCAGTTGATCATTGGTACATCATTTTGCCGCAAAACTTTGTATGAAAAAAGCGCCAGATAATATACAGTTACATTTTGCATTTTAGCTGTTTAATTATCTTTTCTTTTCTTTGGGAGGGGGCATTTTTTTATATGTAATAAATCTAGTTTTTTAAATGCTAGCCTTTTATCAAGCAAAATATAGTTTCTTTTTTCTATCTTTATCACACTCAGTGCGTGTTTGTTCCAGGCTATGCTTAATATGCACTCAATTAAAAAAAAAAAAAAAAAAAAAAAAAAAACTAATGTACAGAGGAGCTTACGTAAAATACAAAGCAACGTCGAGCATATTCCATCACGCCTTATTAGTATGTATATAAAGCGGTAGATGACTCAAGCAAAATCACTTTTCCAGTGCAATACTTTTCCGATACCAAATTTACTCAGGTTGCTTTCAATGACATGATCTCCGATTCTACACTTCTTATACTGGGGGGAGGCAAGATTAAAGTCAAGCACGTTGAATGGTTATCAAGCAACGAATAATGACCGGAAAAAGTTCTACAGCTATATTTACATGAACCCTATTACAGTTTACCCACCAGATCAGCCAACACATGTTAGCATACGTTGACAATTTAGTGATAAAATTGAACATTTTTCTAATTACAAGTATTCCTATGACCCTAGAGGTAAAAACTGAACTATCTTCCAATCATTTCTCGGTTTTGGTCAAGAATGTGATCCGAAGATCAAGGTATTTAGTAATAGGATCAGTAAAGAAATAAAACTTAGGACTGAAGAATATAAGAAAGACAGAATTTATAGCCTCAGTTTTTTCCAAGACAGTTCCATCAGAAAGTTCGCAAATCTCAGAAGAAAGGCAACATGTAACAAATTTCTTGCAGTTTGGAAATAAAATTGTCTGTTCCGATGAAGAACAGCTCTAAATTTTAGCTTAACCATATGAAGAAACAATTCTCTCCAAATACTGATCCTGCGGATTCTATCCTCATCGATCACGTGAACAATTTAATCGAAGAATGGCTCAATTTGACTGTGAGAATAATACAGGGTGTTTCTAAATGAATATCGGGATTTTAACGCTTTGTAGTGTTTATAACGTAAAACTTAAAATTATAATTAATACATGAAATGAAAGAGCAATTCAAACAGTTATACCTACAAGCTTACAAAATTCAGCGTGAGCACCTTTCGTCACACGATACACATCACGTCGAAAACCTTTGGTTCAACACTGACCCTTGCTTGTCATGTACTCTTCTCTTTGCAAAGGCAGCCGTTATTTTTAAACTGATGATACCATCTACGGATGTTATTATCACTTGGAAGATCACATCTGAACTTAATTCGAAATGCACGTTGCACAGTAACTACAGATTCAACTTTGCACTGCAAAACACAAAAAGCTCTC